CAGACAAAGCAGGATTTGAGTAAGATAGTTTAGGATGGTACCTGGACACGTGCGTGACTATCCGGTTGCCAAGATCTACTGGTTGTGCGGTAACTACTAGCAAGCCGTCATCAACTCTAACTGATTAATCACTTCTCAATTTGCCTCTTCTGTTCAACTCGACCTTCAAGCAAGACCTCGGCTGCAGCGCCGCCGCTGCCCCTTTCGACTGCGCCTCCGACTCGCCATCGCCTCCAAACTCGACTCTCTTCGTCAAGGCCGCCAACGACTGCTTCCTCCGTTTGGCAGGCCCAAGATCGTTACAGAAATGGTCAAAGATACGACGAATTTATGCCCGTCTCTTTTAATTGACCATGAAATTGCCGTAACGCGCGCAGCACAAGTGCAGAAACGGATTTCAGAATAACGGCCCGGGATTAACATAGCCTAGCGGAAACAAACGTAAACGTGTAGTAGAGATCATCAATTGGAACAGCTTAAGTGGTATATTTCTTATGGTTCATACCGGTATACGGGTCGGGCTCAGGATATGTCGGGGTGTCGCCCAATAAACAAGTTGCTTTTAGTATCAGATAAGTAACACTTAACAGGAGGGTGGGCGACATCTGGAACGCCATCGGGCGAGGGCGAGCGGATGTGAAAGCGAGTCTCAGAGTGGCATACGATTGCAGCGTTTGCCCACGGTGGGTCATCCCTCCGTGATCTAACCCCGCCTCGACCCCTATATGACCCGAAAAAAAACTTACCCTCATGCAAAAATATTGGCACGAGTGCTGGGGTCAGCTTTACGGCTAGCTAGAGCTCTCACGCTGGCTGCAACTTGCTGCGCATGCTTCTCCAGTCGCCGACACTCACCACGTAAATCCTCTTGCTTAGCCTTCCTCTTGCGTCGGAACTTGACCATTTCGATGCGATGCAGTCGACGCTTCTGCTCCTCCTTGTCCTCGAGAGCCCAGGTATCGCTCACGATGTCTGCGACGTCTGCGAAGTCCACAGTATTCAACGCCAGCATTATTTGTCGATGACAACGCGGGTAACGTGACCAGCAAAAGACGATAATGGAAGTTGAGGCGACGTGTGACGTGAGCTCTCGAGGAGACACAGGCCCGAAGAAGGTGGAGTCAGAAGTTGTCCAGTAATCGTTGATTAATTTTGAGCG